ACAACAACAACAACCACAACAACGGGGAAAAAAAAAAAAAAAACATTGAAGTCAATTAAAATATTTCAAGGCATGGAATTGTTGTTGTTGTTTTTTTTTTGCCGCTTCGGCAATTGAGTTTTTTTTTTTTTTTACAAATGCCGAACGAACGGAAAAAGAATCATCATAATATATAAACGAACGTAAAAAGTCAATAGTTAGAAAAATAATAAAATTCCGAGGGGAAGAGGGGGGGGGGAGGAATTTTGACTTTATATAAAAAGAAAGAAAAAGAAAAAGAAGAAGAAGAAAAAAAAAAGATTTAATCCGGTGCTGCCAACCGAATTTAATATTAATCAGGCTATATAAATGCATGATCGACGTATCTGCCATTAATCTCTTCATTTCTTTTTTTTTTCCTTCTTTTTCCTTCTTTTTTTTCTTTTTTTGTTTCTCCTCCCACGATTTTCTTTTATTTTCTTACGAAAAAAAAAAAATTTTCTTTTTTCATTAAAAAAAACGAAAAAAATTTCAAATTTTTCCCGCAGAAAAGAAAAAAAAAAAAACTATTTCGAGTTTCGCAATTTTCCCTCTCTCTCTCTCCCTCACCCCCCCCCCTCCTCTCTCTTTTCCCTCCCCCCCATTTTTCTTTCTCTTTTCCCGAAGACAACGAAAAAAATTTTTTTTGTTAAAAATGAAATAAATATTATAATTACAATAAATAAATAAATAAATAAATAAAATTTTTTTAAAAAGGAAAAAAGTTTTTCCTTTTTTCTAAAACAAATTTTTTTTTGGGAAAATAAATGGAAAAAGGGGGGAAAGAGAAAGAGAGAGAAAAAGAAACAGAAATTTTTTTTTTTTTTTTGGGGTGGCCACGTACTGTGAAATACACGAGGAGGCTGTAATAATTCCTTTTATTTTTTCCTTTTTTTTTTTTCTCTTCCTACCTTTTTCCCTACTCTCACCTCTTGAACCTTATTCACATACAACCCTCACTTCTCCTTAACCTTTTCGAAAATTTTTTTTTTTTTATAAAACCCAACGCAATATACAAACGAATGACCTTTTTTTTTCGATTCTTTTCCATTTTTTTTTTTTTTGAAAAAATGATGATGATAATAATAATATTCGATAGTCGATTGACCGGTAAATAATAATAATAATAATAATGAGAATTTTTCGGTTAAATAAAGAGAAATCAATAGAATACGAATCGGCATGAAGTGTTAATTAACTATCGAACAGGATTTTGAATCATCGCGTAATAAAATGCCGACAGACAAACAACAAATAAAAAAAAATACAAACAACAACAACAATGGATGCAGATGATGGCCACTTTTAATAATGATGATACGAAAACAAAACAAAACAAAAAAAATAAAATCGATAAATAAATCGATAGATAATAATTACGCGGCAAAAATTTGTTTTGTTTTCTCAATTTAAAACCGTGATAGAGTATTAAAATGAATTTTTTAAATTTTAACTCACCGCCTTTTCGACTCCTTCTTTTTTTCCTTCTCTTCCTTTGATTCTCCCTCTCTCTCTCTCTTGCTTCTTCCGTCGATATTCTCGTCGTATTGGGTATCAATATTTCCCCAAAGGAAGTTAAAAGGTGAATTTCTTTCATGAACTTTTCCTCTAAAAAAAAAAAAAAGAAAAACTTATTAAAGAATAAATGAAAGTGAAAATAAAATTTCCCAAAATATTTCCTCAAGGTTTAAAAAAAAAAAAAGAAAAAAGGAAAAATTTAAATAATATTTTTTTTTCTGTTGGTAAAAAAAAAAAAAAAAAAAGTTTTCTCTGACATTTTCAAAACTGGATTTTACTCCTTCGACTCTTTTCTCTCTCTCTTGTTCCTCTTTCTCTTTCTCCCTGTTTTTCCTCCTTTGGTTGCACTCCTTTGTCTCCCCTTCTTTGATTCCCTTCCACCACCCTCCCCTCATCCTCAGCATCTTTCCAGCGACGAGAAATTCCATTATTTTGCTATAAATGAGATATCGACCAGTTTTAGGCCGGATTACACTGCGCTACGTTTTTTTTCTCTCTTTTTTTTTTTTTTTTTTAAGTAAATGAAAAATCTCTTCCTGTTTTCCTGTTTTTTTTTTTATTCTGCTTTCCGTCAGAAGGGATCTCCCCAAAAAAAAAATTTTCATGAAATAATTATGTGAGATTTATATTAAAAAAAAAAAAAAAAAATTAGCTCTTTCCTGTTTGTTACATGCTCCCACTATACAAATATCGTAAAAAATATTTGAATTATTATCATTATCATTAAATTTTTTTTCGCTGTTGTGTTAATACGTAAACTATTATTTTTTATTACTGTGTTAAAATTAAAAAAAAAAAAATTTTTACCATTCAACAGATTTATCTCAAACAGGAATATATTTTTATGAAAAAACAACAATTAAAACAAAAAAGTAACAAAAAATAATTTACACCCCTCCCCTCCTCTCCTTTCCCTCCCTCTCCCTCCCTCCCACGCAGCCTCTCTTCCTTCTTCCCACTCTTAAAAAAAAAAAATTCGGGAAAAATTTTTATTTTGAAACGGGATGATATTATCCGTGCTGTTCAATGGTTACGAGTGTGTTGAGGTCGCGAGCATGTAACAGGGACGGGGTCCAGGGGGTTTTTCTAAACCCCGTGGAATGGGGGATGTGAAAGTGCCTAAGGCCTTATCTGAACAGGGCAGGCAAAGCACGATTGGGGAGCGACTCTTTTTTTTTTTTTTTTTTTTTTTTTTTTTTCCTTTTCAATATTTTCCAATACAACAACATTGTTCTTCACTCTTTTTTTTTTTTTTAACGTTATCGTTGTACCAAAAATGTCCGTTTAAATGTTTTTGTTTTTTCTTGTCAGGTTTTTTACTCTCGTATTATAATGAATTTTCCTTTGTTTTTCCTTTTTTTTCCTTTTTTTCCTTTTTTATTTTTAAATTGAAAAAGTGAAGAAAAAGGTTTTGAAGTAGGAGTCGTCGTTCGTTTCCTTTTTTAATTTTTTTAAAATTAATTATTATTATTATTATTCGATTCAACACGTAAATAAACCATTCGTAGTCGTATAGAGGGGGAGGGGGAAAAAGGTCTACGACGTAGAAAAAATTAATAATGATAATAATAATAATTTTTTTTTCACTCCCGAAAAAAAAGGCTAATCTGCACCTGATGTTAATCCCCTCATGGCATGTCACTTTTATGTGTGATACCACCATGATAGGGTGATCATTGTAGCCTCTTTTCCCCCCCTCTCTCTTTCTCTCTCTCTCTCTCTCATTGAAAACCAAAATGACACACTGTTGTTCGAACCTTCTCAAAATATGTCAAATTTTATTTTATACGATTCAAAGATTTCCTTTTATAAAAACTCACCCCTTCGTAAACCGACAAAAAAAAAATTTTTTTTTTTTTACCTTTTAAAAGTTTTCCTTTTTGGTTGTTGTTGTTATTGTTGTCGTTGTTGTTGTTTTTGTTGTTTTTAATACCCTCGTGTTGTTTCTCGTCAGACTCTGAAACTTTTGGGTTGTTTTTTTTTTTATACAAAGAAAACGTTTTTTTTTCTTTCTTCGAGTTTTTCTTATGCTACGAAAACATTTCGCACTGGAAAAAAAAGAAAATTTTTTTAATTAGTAGGAAAACTAAAAATAAATTAATGATGATAATGATAATGATGATGATGATGATAATGATAATGATGATGATGATGATGATGATAAAAACGTAAGATTTTCATTGAACACGTTGAGAGATAAATTTTTAAATAAATTATATGACAAAACATTATAAGAAGAATTTATGCAAGTTTCGGTTAATAAAAAAGTGATGATGATGATGATGATGATAATGATGATGATGATGAGGAGTCAAAAATTTTACAAATATCAAATGAAAACGAATTTATATACAAATAAATTTTTTTTTTTCCTCATAAACAAACATTTGAAAAAATTTCAACAAAATCTACTCGAAAGAATGAAATAAAAAAAAAAATACATATAAAGAATAAATTGTCCCGCTTTTTAAAAATAATAATAATAATAAGAAGAAGAAGGCTGACAAAATATGAATGACGGTTTTTAACAATCAAAGAAATTTTGGACCTCCTGCCTGAAATAATAATAATTGACAAACAATCGTTTACGACAAAAAAAAAAAAAATAAGAAAAGTTCTCCAGAATTTAAAATTTGATATCAGATATATTTATATGTATCAGTTTAAAAACTGGATTTTTGTTTGGAATATCAGTGTCAACGATTTTCACGGTCCTATACTTATGAATAGAATATTTTTTAAATAGACCACCCCTTATTTTTTTTTTTTTAATCTCTCTCTCTTTTTTTTTGCAAAATGCTTTTCAAACCTTCAGCTGGATTTGTTTGTATAAATAAAAACTATATATATATATTTTTTTTTTTGCATTTAACTTTTTCAGGTTCGTCAGCCACCATTTTGAAACCATTGAAAAATACACACAAAAACTAACCTGAGAAAAATAAAAATAAAAAAATTTTAAGGTTTATATTTTTTTTTTTTTTTTATGAAAAATATATTTTTCAAAATGTATAATTTAATTTTTTGATTAAATAAAATGATTATAAAACTGAAAAAACAACAAAAAACAAAATTTAATAAATTTATTGACTACCACGTGGTTGCATAGAGTTCGATCAATTCAAATCATTATTAAATTTAAAAATTGTATATTTTACCTTTTTCCCTTTAATAATATTTATTATATTAATGTAAAAACATAGTTAAGAAATAAACGACCTTGAAATTTTATTTTTTTTTTTATAAATAAAAATTAATAAATAGTTTTGGAAATGTTTTTAAATTTAAAAATAACGGTCATCGATTTCATAACGGTTTAAAAAATTGATCATTTCCGGAACGTAATAATTCATATTCATTATCTCTATGACTTCAAGGTTAACGTTCCTGTCGTTTATGATTTACTTAATTCATCTAAGATTATCGTTTATTTTTTGTTTTTTGTTTTTTTTTTAATTATCGAAATGAGCGTTAAAGAAATTTGTGATGTTCAATATGAATCAACAACGTCTACATTGGATGAAACTGTCGAAAATGTTGTTCAAGTTTTAATAAAAAACGAAGAAGAGGCTAGTTTATTTTTGTTGTTGTTGTTGTTGTTTGTTAAGGAGTAAACAAGTTGTTGTTGTTGTGAGAGTAAACTTTTAGAAAAACGATTGTCAATTTTCTTTATTCTATTTTTTATTTCCTATTATGTTACTTAATGTTTTTATGTTTATCTTTTGACATTTAACCATGACAAACACACACACACACACACACATTCCTAACCTATACCTTGTTGATCTAATTATTAACAAACATAATTCAGTTATCAATATCATTAGTTAATTATTATTTGTACTTACCTCATCATCATCATCATCATCATCATCATCGGTGACAGTATTTGTATTTAACTTGTCTTCTGCTCCTTTTTTTATCCATCCTCTCCCTTGATGATGTAACACCATTCAATACTTTTTCAAAAATTTTGTTTGATGCATGTTCGCTTATGTTTTTCTCTTTCATCGGTTTGAGACTGATCTGGTGTATGTCTTATCTGAAAATTAAACGATTAAGATTAATAAATTGTATTGTTAATAGTAATTAAAATGTGTCAAATTGATAAAATAATTAATCATTATCATGTGGTATTGGTATATGTTTCAGGTAGAAAAACTTGATGAAAAAAATCAATGTCTAATTATTGAAAATGAAAATAAGAAAAAATATTTACAACAATTGGAAATAGAAAAATCACAAATTGATGGTAAAAATACAACAAACACAAACACACAAACATCATTTTATCAAATCATATAAATATTAAATAACAAAATCATTTTGAATCAATTTTAAAGAAACAAATTATGAAAACAAAATTCAATTTTTTTTTTTTTTTACAAAAACAAGTATTATTATTCAAATTATTAAATAAATGATAGTGGTAGTAGTAGTGGTAGTAGTAATACATGCATGATAAAATACAATAATAATAATAATAATACAATTAGAAAATTGGATAATCAATGTTAAAGAATAGAAAATGATTTTTTTTTTTTTTAATTTTATTTATACCTTGAATCATGCCAATACCTCATTAAAATCTTATTAACTTAATATTGTTGTTAATAATAATAATAATAATAATAAATATGTACTCTTGTTAATAATGCATAATGAAAAATTATATAAAAATAATGGGGAAAAAAAATATTTTAAGTATAATGATAAACATAACAAGTTGTTGTTTGTTTGTTTGTTTGTTGTTGTGTGTGTTATGCATAAGACATGTAAAATAAATTTGAAATGTGATGATTTTATTTAGGACAATTGACTGCGATGAAACTTCGTAACGCTGCCTGTCAAAAAGAACACATAAATTTAAGAAATGGAATAACGGTCGTTAAATATCAAATAGAAAAAATAAAAGAAAAAATTGATGAAACAAAAAAGAGAGAAATAAAAGATTTGGAAGAATTTGAAAAAACCGTTGATGAAATAACAGAAAAATTTAAATCGGGATCTCGAATATACGTAATTTAAAAAATAAATGAATTGTTTTGCTCCTCTCTCTCTCTCTCTCTCTCTCTCTCTCTCTAAATAATGATAATGATAATTTTTGTTTTGTTTTTAGAATCGTGAAAAATTAATGGAAAAAATAAAAGAAGAAAATGATAAAAGAGAAGAACTCGTTAAAAAAATAAATGACGTCAAGGAAAATTATTTAAATTATTTAAAAGAAAATGGTTTGAATGAGAAAAAAAATGGCGATGGTGATGATGATGATGATTTGATCGATTGCATAAATTCTAATTCCGAATTATTTTCTATAAGAGAAATGACAAAAACTTTGGATAAAGTCATGTAAAAATAAATAAATTTCTATCTCTCTCTCTCTCTCTCTCTCTAACGTTGTTTCTTATCGTTTAGAAATAGAAAAAATTCAATCTCAATTTTTTTTTATTTCTCTCTCTCTCTCTCTTTTTAGATTCGACATTAAAAATTTAATAATGATAATGACGACGGACACAAAAAATGATGGAATTGAAACGGAGGGAAACGAATAAGACGACCAAGATTTTTTAAATTAATTAAATTAATATTAGTAATAATAATAATAATAACAATAGTAAATTTTTCGTTTGTTTTGTTAAATTTTATTATTATTATCATAAAGTTTTTTTTTTTTCGTTTTGTAAATATGTTTGTGGGAAAATTTAGTAAATGTGTTTTTGCGACAACAACCAACAACCAGGTGCAATACTTTAGTTTTTGTAAGGAAATAAATCGTTTGTTTGTTTGTTTTTGTTTTTTCCCCGGTTTGTTTTTAAATCAAATAATAATAATAAAAATGATTAATATTTTTAATTTTTTTTTTAGAATTTATTATTTTTTTGTACGAATAGAATTCTACTAAAGGTGGAGAAGAAGAAAAGGATTAAAAAAATTTATGAATTTTTATAAAATCAAAGGAAGAAAAAAAAAGGAAAAGGTTAAAAATACCATTAAAAAAAAAAAAAAAAGATGAGGAAACGGTATAAAATAAAGTTTAAGCTGAGGTCAAACTATCTGTGCAAAAGGTTCAAAGTGTTTGGCGGTAGGAAATGATGCTATATAAATGCATGACGCAGAGAAGGAAGAGAGAGAGAGAGAGAAAGAGAATTTTGTGGGAGGAAAAAGGAAAAAAAAAAAAAAAAAAAAAAAAAGATATGAGGAAAAAAGGGATCATTATAAGGGAGGGAGGAGGATGCGAGTGTAGGGGTAAAAGAAGGCAAAGGGAACATGAAAAATAGGGATTCTGTCGGAGTGTGAGAGAGAGAGAGAGAGAGAGAGGAGGATGGAGGATGGAAGAAGAGGATTCGGCGGTTGTTCCGGAAATAACATCGTCGGTAATAACATTGGGCTTATGTTATCTCGTCCTCTCTTGGATTCCCAGAACGAAACTAAATTAGACCCAAGTTTTTATGACACCTTTTCTCAAGTATTTTTTTTTTCTCTACTTTATGATCATTCGAAATGTCCGTTCGTTTTCAACTTCAATCAGAATAGAAAAAAAAAAGAAAAAAAAACTTATTACCTCCATTTTATTTTTTTATTTTTATTTTTTTCTTATGCCACGATGATGATAACTTATACCTTTTTTAAATGATTTATTTATTTCTCTCATCGTCTTATTCATTTTTTTTTTTTTTTTTTTATTCACCTTGTATAATAATAATAATGACAAATTTTACACGGATTCGTATATACATATATTTTTAATGAATGAAATGCATTCTAATACTCTATGACTTTTTTTTAACTACCATCGAACGTTAAAAAAAAAATTTTTTTTTTTTTTCGCATTTGGGATGATGACAGCTGCAAATCGTTTGGTTGATTTATATAATAATAAAATATAAGTAAATGGTTCAACTTTGACTGATAATAATAATATTTTTACCGTCTTAGAATATATGAAAACAAAAATGAAATAATGTTTTTTTTTTTGCGATGGGCATTGACCAACTGTTTTTTTGCCCCTTCTCCTCTTCCTCCTCCTCCTCCTCTTTGTCATTATTTGAATTTATTATTAATAAGGTAAAAGAATTGTTGGCAAACGATGGTTAAATTTAAAATGTTTTGTAAAATTGCAATAGGGGGGGAGGGAAAAAAAACCAATGAAAATGTTAAGTAAATCATTTGACAAAAATAACAAACTTTATTTTAGAGAGGTGACAAAATGTAAAAGACAAAAACAAACTCCCCCCTCCCCCATTGGAAAATAATAATACACCTGCTAACTAATCACCTGTTGAAAGTTATATAAATGATGTTGTGAGTTTCATCCCTTTTCCTCCCCCCTTTCTCTCTCTGAAACCCTGCACGGTCAAGTGTGACGATTCAAAGTTTTGAAATTAATTTTCATTTAGTAACACCAAATATTGTGAGATGACAACCAACCCTCTAACTATCTTTATTATAACTAAGTTAATTTTTAGTTCATACTAAGAAGGGGGAGTTTTAAGAACGAATTTGATTTATGTATAAATCAAAAATTTTACTTTTTTTAATGCAAGTCTTTCCTTTTCCTTTTTTTTGGGGGGGCTGAATAAAAAGTAACATGAGAATTTCCTTTTTTAAATAGAAAGATTATGAATGATTTTTTTATGTGCATGGCGTGCATGGAAAAGAAGAAGAATAGTATTGATTGATATTATTAGGTTTTTGATAAGAAAATGGAACAACACCCCTAGGTACTAAATATAATGTTAGCACATGACCGTTTGAAAAAGGAAAAACCGTTTGTTCAAAACTCACCCTAAAATTTCATACACAGAAAACTACACTCAAGGGGATGAGAAGCAACGTCACATGCCGATAACAGGAACCCGTACGGTTCACTTGGGACATGCGCCCGATTGTCGATCTTTAGCCTTATCTTCTGTCACATTTCACTTCATGGACTTCTGGCACATACACAATTTATTATAAACGTTCAAACACAATGCGAAAAAACTTTTTTACACTCAAAATTATTATCAAAAATATAATCAAAAAATTGTGAATGAAAAAAAAATCAAACATAAATGATCAAAGGAATGAAAACAGAAGAAGAAGAAGAAGAAACAACTTTTAAATAAAAGATTTATAACAAAAAAACTTTGAAATAAATAATAATGTTGATTGTATGTTTTCCTAATGTTTTGTTAGGGAAAACTTAAAAAAAAAAAAAGTTATTTTTTAAAGAGAGAGAGAGAAAGGGGGAGAGAGAGAGAGAGAGAGAGGGATAGATTTGCTTGAAAGATGCAACAGATAATTTTCTCTAACCCCCCACAGCAAGTTTTTCTTGCGTCAGTGAATTCTGATTGTAGTTTATTTGTATTAGTCACAGTTTTTCCTCCCACAAATTCATACTCTCTTTCTAACTAACATAATTACATTTTTCTTCCGTATAAAATTCGTTATTACTTCCACCAATAGTTTTGAAAGCAATAAAATTGATTAGTCAAATTTTTTTTCGTATCATAAAACAAAATTATCCGGGGCGAAATGGAAAAAAAATTTTTTCGATTTATTTCGAAACAATTTCGAAATTTAATTCTTTTTTCGAAAGAGAGAGATAGAAAAACAAATAAGAAAAATAATTATATAAATAAAAAACAAAAAAACTTACCGTATACATGATAATCCGCCATTTTTCTTTTATTTTGTATTTGTTGATTAAGAAGACAACTTGAGGAGCAGGGAAAAAATTCCCCGATCGTTACGATAAAACAATTGAAAATTTTTGTTTATATGTTAATTTGAATAAAAGTTTCTTTTTTGTTTTTTTTTTTTTTACAATGAAAATGTTTGTTGTTTGTTTTTCTTTTTTTTTTTTTTTTTTTTGAATCTCAAATTCTTACTATTACTCCCTTCTTGTTTGTTCTTGACGGGTTGCATTGGGTTTCAATGTTGAACACAGCTGCAAGAAATTGCATCATGCGTGTGTGCACCCTTACGACGTTCACCGACATAACCAACCCATGCATGATATGAAGATCCCCGTATTTATTATATAATCCCATCAGATTTTAGCGGTAAACATTGCAGTGAAAGATATAGTTTTAGCCTTAAGGGTTATTGTTTGAAAATTTCTTTTTTTTTTTTTTTCTTAATCATTCATGCAGGATTTATCTTTTTACTAAACCTTTTTTTTCTTTCTTTTTAATAATAATAATAATTTTAAAAAACAAAATAAGGGCGAGTTATAAAAATTTATTATTTTGTGGTTTATTAAATTTAAATTTCCTACGGGCATTTTCGTCGTCATCGCCGCCATTTTGTTATAATCAAATCGAATAAAAAGGAAATCAATTTGATTATTTTAATCGTGTTGTAAAATTATATTGATTATTTAAATTTCCCCCCCCCCTTCCCTTTCCCCAATGCGGTATTAAACACTAAAATATTTGTTAATAATTAAAGAAATTATTATTATTATTATTACAGAACAATATTTTATAAATAAATACGAAATTAAAAAAAAAAAAAAGAATGAAAGGATTAAAAATTATTCGTTTTCGACCTTTTTTTGCTGTTGCTGTTGCTGTTGTATAACGAAAGGGCCGTGCCTAAAATCCGTTTCCTTTCCCTCATGAGATCCGTCAGCAATCTACTTTCCCCCCAGAAAAATGTTTTCGTTTTCATGGTTTAAAAATATTTCTTTCTCTCTCTCTCTTTAACTTCAACGCCTCATTGTATTTCAGCAGCAGGTCGGAAAATAAGCAATCTATATGCATGGATTTTACACCTTCTACGTCTCTCTTTTTCCCTTTTCATTTTTCTCTCTTTCTCTCTTTAATTTTTTCCCTTAAACAACATCTATCTCTTTTTATCTTTTTCATCCCTTTAAAACAGTTCATTCCTATTTTATATATATATATATATTTTTTTTTCCTTTCTTTTAAATCTTTGGTTTTAAATTTCGACCAGATAAGTTTTTACTTTTTTTTTTTTTTTTTTTTTAATTTTAATTTAAATAAATTTATTATTATTATTATTATTTTTCTTTTTTGTTTTTTTTTTTATTGTTTAAAAATAAAAAAAAAAGGAAATGAATAGAAATTTTCAATATGAGGAAGGTAACGGTAAAAAAAAAAAAATTTTATTTTAATTACTTGGCTATACATAACACATTTGCAAAAAAGGAAATAATAATAATAATAATAATCCTTTGACCACCACAGATGTAATAATATTAATAGAAAGAGAGAGAAGTAGGGGGAGAGATGGGAGGGGGGGTAGAGAACTTTCAAGTTTAAACAATTATTATCATTACCTGCAATTAATTGTTTTTTAACACAAAGTTATATTTAAGAAAAAAAAATTTTTTTTTTTTTAATGGCGGAATGAAATTAAAAAATTATCTATATAACTGGATAAATCTCTCGATGAGTATTTTATTATTATTATTATTATTTATTGTTATGGACAATTAAAATTTATAAAAAAAAAAAAAAAAAAAAAAAAAAAAACGTTTACTTTTACTACACGAAAATATAATTAAACTCTTCCGTAATTATTATTAAGAGAAAGAAAAACA